CTGTGTATGAAGGCCTAATTTTCCCACTCTGAGTGGATTGCTAAAATGGGCCTTGGGTAATTTTTGTGGACAATAGAAGTTAGAAGCTGTTTTCCAGACAGCATTTTGAGAACTAAAATGGGGTGCTTGAAATAAATGCAATGAAATGCCAAAGATATTGTCATAAGTGGTCTTGGTTACAAATTGCTGTTGCTCAGGACAGTGCTCTGAATTATTTTACCTCGTTCTGGTGGTGGAGGGGTGGACTGAGTGCCAGCCCCAACTCCCTACTTGAAAAATCCATTGCTGTAAAGCTAAAGAAAATATGTGAAAGCTTAGAACTCTGTTATAGCTTGTAGGAATCCCTTACATAGGGAAACTAGATATGCATAAGAGAAACAAATCTAATACTGGGGGTCAGTTGCACCCCTTTCAGTGCTTCTGGGTTTGTATTTTAAAGGCCAGACAAAATAAAGATGAATTTTACTAATGTCCTTGAGCTTCTTGAATAAAAACCCTACATTTGGAGTATTTTAAACCATGGGCAAATGTCTCTGCCAGTCAGGATCAGAGTGTAATGGAATGAAATACTGTACTGATGTTCATGGTCTGCTCAGAAAACAGGAAATCAGTGATTTAAAGCTACTCTGGCTGTTGTTATTTGATACAGTGGGTGCAGACCAACTCCCTGATTCACTTCTCTGCTGGTTCCATGTCTGACCTTTTGAAAGAGATGCAGCTCCAAGTCACTTTGGGTGATCTAACCCACCCCCCAGTCACACTCTGTGTTCTGGTCAGATTCTAGCTCCAACAAACATTGTGCTCTTGGAACAGAGGTTATGGTCAGTTAAGATGCTGTGCTGTGTGCTTCTTTGACAGTTCTGGCACTGAGAACAGGAGGAGAAAAAAGAAATGGGCTTGAATGTGTTCTTTCTCTGATAGGTTTATGGAAGCTTCAGATACAATAATAGATACTAATTAGAGCCGATACAGATGGGCTGATTAAATAATCTGCAGGGTACTGCATAGATGAGCCTGAAGTGGTGATTCTCAGTAGGTTGAGTGATGCAGTGGCATTGCCTGCTCATGTCTGAGGACAAGCAGACCTGTGTGAAAGCCAGACCCAACTAAAAGGAAATCGGGTGATTCTGAGAGCTTTGGGTGGGCACAGTCACAATTTGCTTCTGGGAGAGAGTTGGGGGCAGTGCAGATAACCTGCTTTGGCTGGGAGGGGGCAGGGTTGGGTGGATCTTTACGTGATTCTGCAAATTTTCCATGTGTTTTCAGTTAGTAGGATAATGTTTTCTGAAAGAGAATTAGTCAGGATCCAGCCTGTTCTTGAAGTGGCATTTGAAACTGTGAAGACCATGAGCAAGTGTATCAACAGGAGCTTCATTCAACACTGGAAAATACTTTTGTGTCCATACTCCACTGCAATGTTTATCTTACACATAGGAATTACAGCAGGCTTTTTGTCACAGGAAGTGATGCTTTGCAACTGTGTATTGTTTAATGTAGATGAACACTGAGGAATGTAGCAGAACACAGTTTATATTCTGATACAATCCAGCTTTGTGTTCTATGGTTGAGAACTGTAAGTCACAATGAAAAAAGGTTAATCATGTGAAGTGAATATTTCAAAAGTACTTGTTCATTCTCCTCTGATCAGTGTTTATAGGCTGCATGTCAAATGTGCCTAATCATTTGAGCTAATTTAGGAGGAGAGAGTAGGCATAAGACTGAGGAAAGTTCCATGGATGCCTAATTAAAAGCCAATATGTCCTGAGTACATGCACACAATTGTGTTTTCTAATAGCATTTTTTAGTCTTAAATGTTATCTAAATTCTGTAAAAGATATTACAGATTAATATACGTAGACTGTTTCTGTAATACTTTCATTCATCTGTTTAAGTGGGTAATTTCTAAAAAATAATATTATAACTGTAATAATAATAATAGTAAAGTCTTTGTGACTTCATTTAAAGTAGAAAACTAGACAGATCTCTAATGCATCTTCTGGTTCCAATTCTGTTTTGAGGAGTGACAGTGCTGGAAGATTCCTTAGTTCTTGCCAATTTATTGACCCCATCCATGACTGTAGAAGAGGAAAGATTTACTGCCGGTATTATCACATGTGAAATCACAGAATTCTTTCAAAATTGTTTGGGCTGGTACTTTTCATACTACAGATTCATTCTTGTAGTGCTTGTAATGTCTTTGAAACACATATGTTTAGAAACCTTTGAGTTTTTTATATTTCATTTTTCTTTTTGAAATCCTTCAACATTACTTGATGCAACTGTAACAATGATTGAAACTGGAGAAGGAGGGGTGATGGATGAAAGAGGGAAGGGTTTGGGGAGGGTTTGATTCAAGCCCCTCTACTTCCAGCCTTTAAAAATATAATCTTGGAAGTCAATAGAAAGCTGGAGTTGAATGCTAAATTGTTTCTCTCCAATGTATCTGTATCGTTAGTTTGTTGAGGAGGTTTAGCTAAAGGGGTAATGAATGTTTATTTGAGTACAAAAATGCTTGAAACTGAAACTAGCAAGTATTTACAATGGCCTTTTAAGTCTGTTTTGACATTAGTTAATATCTTGACAAACTACTTTGGTTCAGGCATTTTTAGTGAAGGTTTTTTCTCTTACATGAACATACCTCTTGATCTCCTTTCTTATAATATTTTGTGGATTCTTCAAGAATTCACAGGCATTGATGTGGCATTTGATTTGAAAAATGTTGTAATAATAACATTATAATCTGTAACAGGGTGTTTCTTTTGGTTTTGGTCAGCAGCCAGAGGCTCAGGGAACCCAAACAATATTCATAGTGGTGAAGCTCATGGGTATTGTTATTTGTATAATTATGATTTCCAAAAGGAATATAAGATTTTGTTGTTTTCCAGAAGGCATGTAGCTGCTAGATTTTCTTTTTTTTTTTTAAAACAGCTTTCTATATATTGCCTGTGACCATTTTTTGCTGACTTATTTGGAGATGTCTTTATATTTCAGTTACTGAAGGCTTTAGTTCAGCCAATAGACTTTTCATCTGCTCTTCTATTCTGATCTAACTTTCTGCAGTTTGTTCCCCTCTGGGTCGGGTGATGTTGGGAATATGCATAGACAGATTATCTGGAGCCAAGCGAGATGTCCTCCATACAGGGCAGCAGGCTTTGTGGAAAAGGAGGATGTGAAAAACAACATTTTGTTTCCACTTATGCATTGCAGCTAACATGCAGAAAAAAGCTGATATTTTCAGTATTATGAATTACTGAGTAAATAGCTCTATGATGAAAATAATTAAGTTCCCTAGACTGTTCTGAATTGCCCAGCCTAAATGCAGTGCTCTGAAGCTGTGTGACATTTGAGGATGAAGCCCAGCTCTGCTGAGTCCAGTCCTTCGGTTTGGAATTCTCTTCATCAGTGTTTGCATATTTTGGTTTTTTATTTTCAGGAGTTAGATGATAAATGAGTGGGCTTGGATTAGATGATGGGCTGCAAAGGGACATGGGGTGGTTGGAGATTGATTTGAGAATAGTTCCAGCTGAGTAAGAAAGTAAAAGCTTGAATGCTGGGAGTTGCACAGTAGCATTTGGCACGAACCTTTTTGATAGCTCTAGAATTGAGGATAAGTGGAGGGAGATGGAAGAAGAAATTATGCTGAGAGTTGAGATCTGTCCTAGCAATGTTGTTCTGTACACATTCACAGTATAATCTATTGGATGTAGATAAAAGCATACTAAAAATTATCTCTAGAATTGAGCATTCTCATGAAGAGTTCAGTTCTTGGGTCTGAGTGTTGAGGTTTCAGCCCTTCAAAAATGCTGTGTATAACTTTTCTGTAGTGAGGAATCTTGTCCAAGTATATAATATTTATTTAGGAGATTTTTTTTAATTGCCCAAGAGATCATTTCAGTATTAAAAGCTATCTAATGTAGGGACTTGAAGCAGAGTGGTTACCTATCCAAGCATCCAGCATTGGTAGGAATGCAACAGGTGGCACCATAAACATATTACCATAAAAAACTTTTGGTTACATTAAACTTGAGGGGATGGGGGTACTCACTAAGGGTGAAGGTTTGATGAACTGAAAAAAACCCCAAAAATGAATCCTTGTTAAACTAAACCAGTTTAGTCTGATCAAGCTGAGCCTAGACTGATCTTTAAAGGCTTATTTCATTCTTCTTCTTTCCTTGAAATAAGTAATACAATAGCAAGATCATTAAGGCAAAATTTGATAGCATCTGGGAAATTTTAGTATAAGTAGTGATTGGTGTTCCACTTTTCCTATGATATTCCTGAGATATGGAGGCCCACATTTTAGTGACAGCAATGCTAGCTGTATGTTCATGAGCATTCAAGTCTTCCTAAGAAAGCTTTGAGGATTTTATTTTTTAGTCTGTGGAATACTATAGATTAGGAAAGGTTGGGCTTTTGTATTACTGATTATTTTGTAGTGATGGTTCATGAGTTCATTGTGCTTGGTGCTGTGCAAATAGAAGGGTTTTTTTCTCTGCACATTTTACAGTTTATTCAACCATGTCAAAGAGGTGTGTGAAAGGATTTTCATGGAAGAGGTGGGAAAGCAGACACATAGGTGCATGAATGGGTACTGTAGTGCTATACTTTTGATGCTGCAGATGCTCAAGGGAGTATATTTAAGGTATTCCACGGTGTGGGTATATCTGATTATTTGCAGATAGTATTGTGGGTACTGCAGCACAGATGATGTAAATATCAACTTAATTGTGGTCATGATAATCGTCAGTCTCATGAACAGAAGAAGAATAAGCTAGGGCACTCAAATATTGGTAATTTTAAGTGATGGAGTTATCAGACTACTGATCTTCTACTTTTTGAGTTGTGGACTCTTCTAGAAGGTCAGTTGTCTTGCAAGACAGCAGGGTGTCATGTGTGGCTGATATATCACAATATAAGCAGATGTCATGTTGACATAAGCATATGAGTGCACTCACGTGCAATTAATTGTTTCATTCTTTTTGTTCCCCTTTCACCCATAGGTGACAAAGAAGGTCAAGTCCATGCAGATGTTCCATACTCCTGTGACTTATGCAATGCAGGGTGACAGAGTAGGTGTCTGTGTGACCCAGTTTGATCCCAAGCTGCTGGAACGAGGCCTGATTTGCACCCCAGATTCACTTCACACCATCCACGCTGCCATCATTTCCCTGAAGAAAATTCAGTATTTTCGAGGAGCTCTTCAGACTAAGGCCAAGTTCCACATCACAGTCGGTCATGAGACAGTTATGGGAAGGGTGATGTTTTTCAGTCCAGCCCCTGCTAACTTCAATGACGAAATTCAAGAAAATGTGTTTGATTTTGAAAAAGATTATCTTTATCAAGAGCAATATTTGTCCAAGGACTCAGTTTCTTCAGAGGAGAACAAAGAAAATGACCAGGCAGGAGAAGTGCAGCTCCCAAAACAGCAGTGGGCTTTGCTGGAGTTTGAAAAACCAGTCACTTGTCCTAAACTGTGCCTTGTGATTGGCTCTAAGCTGGATACAGATATTCATGCCAATACCTGCAGGCTGGCATTCCATGGGGTACTGCTCCAAGGCATGGAAGACAAGAACTACACAGAGACTTTCCTTCCAAAGCTGAAAGTCTACAAACAGAAGCACAAAGAGGGACAAGTGGAAAGGGTAAGCTGTCTCTCTGTGCTATAGATGGGAACTGGAAATATTTGTCCTGTACATATGTTGGTGGGCTACAGGATTGTCACTGCTATGTTCCAGAGTCCTTACACAGGTTTTTGTAATGTTTGTATTACCCAGTGTATTACACCTGGTCTGCTTGCAAACAGAAATCACTGTTTGAAGTGACTGGCTTATTCAGTGCAATCCAGTGGTGAGAAATTTGGTGCTGTTTTTGCACTGATCCTTTCAGAGTCTGATCAGAGTGTTCCTCCCAGAGAGTGGCTTTGTGCACCATCCTAAGTGACAAAACTTCCAGATTTCCATTGCTGTATTTTACACAGTCTGCAGTGCATTGAAAATGTAAAGACAGTGGAAAACAAAGTAGCATTTGGTTAAATAACACAAATAACACAAGTAATTATTTTTTTGTATCTTTACATGTTAATAAATAAAAACATTTATTTTAGTATGCAAAAAGAAATTTCCTACAAGATGCCTTACAAGTGATAACATGTTGAAGGTGGAATCAGGTTCATGACATGGAGAAGTTCAGCCATATCTAATGCATGTTATTTCTGTGTCACACAGGTAATTATTATTATCATCATCTGCTATAGTGCTTGTGTTTGACCCATCTCAGTGTAGCAGAAAACAGAGATGCTTTCTGGAGGAGTTAGCAGCTACAGTGCAAATAAAAGGGGTTTGTTTGTACTCTGCCATCAGAATTGGAGAGGTGCTCTGTCTGTAGTGGTTTGTGTTTACATTGCTGGCACAGGTTTGGCCTTGATGGTGGTTTCCCTTCAGTCAGCAGTGGAGAATCACTTGTTGATACACTGCACAGTGGAATTTTTCATGATGAATGGTTTAGGTGGAGATGTACAATGCAGAAGTAACTTAATTGTTTACTCCTGAGTGAACAGAGTTGATGCAAACCTCAGCATTTGTTTAGTTGATGTATTGGTATGATAGGTGATCTATTAAATATTGGGTAAAGAACTCATTTAATTTTGATTTTCCTAGCTCAAAACTTCATTGTTTGAACAAAATGTTTAGCATTCTTCTTTTCAAAATTCCGTAAAGCTGAGCTGAGGATTGCATAATATCTCTCCTTAATTTGCTATAGAAGACTAAACACTTGGCATATGATACTGTGTTGGCCATGTATAATGCACACTCCTTGAATATTGTTTGTTTGTTTTACTAATTTAATAGTAGGAAGATCCCTCCTAGGTCATGATCAGCGAGGTTCTTCAAAATGCCTCACTAAATTAATTGATCAAATAGCTAATTCATATTTTTTTCCCTTTTTTCCTGAAGTTTCTATTGAATTTTTAGCTCTTAAAAAAAAAAGAAAATACAAAGGAGAAACTAATATTTTCACTTCTGATTTTGGAGGCGTTTTATTTCAAAGGAATGACAGACCTATGGTATTGTGTTGGTTTTCTGAATGCCAGTTTTGTCACTAGAAAGAGGGGTGGTTAGGAGGGGGATGTCTCTAGCTTTCTGAATTTTTATATTTGTTTATATGAGTTACTTGAAACACCAAAAATCCTCAGTCACTCTTCACAATTTTGGTAGCAGGTGTATTGTCTCCTTTGTTTGACATGTCCAGCTGCTTTTCTCTCTGGCTGGTGGAGACACTGAATCTGAACCTGGAGTCCAAAGTGTTCTGGGCTCTAAGCTGCAGAGAAGCTCTAGACCAATATGTGTGTGTGTCATTCCTCTGGCACTCAGGAGCTTTCTGAACTCATGAAACTTTTGTCTTTATCTTGGCTAAAGATTGATACTCTTGTGCATGGCCCATGCTGCCAGGATCCAGTGAGACCTGGCTTACAATAACAATGGGAATGGAAGTTTGTGTGAGCCATGGAGACAGATGCCTTTCTCTAACTGAGGTGAACTGGTCTCACATTCTTTATTTGTGCTCTCTATACTGATCTATGGCACTTAAAAACTTGCAGAGTACCAACTGTGTGAGTTGTCTGTTGGGGCTGACAGTTTGCAATAGCCCTGGTCATACAATTTTAACTGGTTTTATTTAGTGTTATTTTCAAACTGTTTGTTGGTTTATATATTCTGCTCTAGATTTTACTGTGTAAATAATGGAATAATATTAATCAATTACACTCTGGCCCAAACAAAAAGCAATGAACATGCTTTTTTAATATTTGACCAACAGAATAATTAATTGGGTTATGTTAGTGAACTACTGTATCTTCCTGTGTCCTTTAAAATGTAGATCAGGGAGTTTTATTATTTTATCCTGCCTTTGTACCACAGTGTGCCCTATATATGTGCCTTAATCACTGTGTGTGATACTAATTGGTCCTGTAAAGGGACAATTGCCATTGCAGCTTTGTTTGTACCCACATTCTGCCTCCTGTGCTGCAGATACTTGGAGCTGGCATTTTCCCTGATGCATGCTGAAGGGATGATGGAGCAAATACTGTAGGAAAGGCTCGTGGTGTAAAGTCCCAGGAGCACTCAGGGACTTGGAAGGGTTGGTGGGAAGAGGATGGTGCCAGGTATAAAGGGCCTGCTGGGGAAGTACTTACAGCCAAGGTAGCTGCTGGTGACTGTGCTTTGCAGAGCACAGCAGCAGGAACAATTGGGTGGTACAGACTTATTTTAGTACACAAAGTCACCAGCTAATAGAAAACTTGAATCAGCTGGTCCCACCCTGCTGCTGATGGATGGCTGGAGATTAGGATCGCTGAATTTAGGGTGTCTATTCTTGGCACTGATACAGGAAAATTTCTTTCTCTGTTGAGTAAGGAAGCTCCCCCCTCCTCACCTTCCCTGGGGAGGCATAAAATAATAATAATAATTAAAAAATACATGTTACCTTCACAAGAAGTGAACTTTTCCTTCAGAGGATACTGCTGGGGAAAATTAGCTTCATAGCTTCCTGAAAGCTGGGAGAGAGGGAGGCAGGGCCATGTAAGGTCCCTCCTCGGGTTCACCATAGAAACATGCTTCCAAAACTGGGATGCAGGGAAATTCAACAGTGCCCATTTGTAAAACATTGCTGCTAATCTGATGTGGGGTCTCCCAAGCCCCCCTGCTTGCTGCTGGAATTAAAATAAATTCCCTGCAGTTTAACTACCAGTTTACCCAGGAGAAATCAGGCATTTATGCTTTGGCTTTTTGTTCCTATTATGATTACTTTCAGAGCACTGATGGAATAGTAAGAACTGTAAATTCATTAAGTTTCAGCATCACAGTATTTTTCTTGTATGCCCCTTGTGCATGGCATCCTTCTGCACTGTAAGGTTTATTTTTTTTAATAAAACAAGAATACTTATTCTCCAACATTTTTTGTCTCTCTACAAGAAGGTGTGACTTTTTTCCTGTTTCACATAGAAATCAAATCCATGGAAAATACGACATTTACTACACAGTATTTTTAAAAAGCATACTTAAGCTAGCAAATAGTCTTCAAGTACTACAGTTTACTGAAATTTCATGCCCAAGCTTCCTGTTTTTTCTCATCTGCTGAAATGATGGAAAACATTATACAAAAATTCAAGTACCCTGTCATTGCATTTTTTACTGCTCACATTTCTCTTTTGGTATCTTACTTCTCTAATGTCAACATTGAGTGGAGCAGTGGGAGAGAAAGAATCAAACTTGACTACTGTTGCTCATCAAAATCTTTTTATTTGCCTGTCTGCAGTGCATCCTTGCTTATTCATCTCCTGATTTTTGGGGGGGGGAAGGAGAGTAAAGGGGAAAAAGTATTATTGTGATCTGTGACAAATTACTATATGAGAATTTAGTGTTGTCTGAGGTGCAGCTTAGTCCATGAAACTGAGGTGCTGGGATTGCATCTTGGTTATGAAAATGTTGTATGATTCTACTGCAGTAATGGTTTTTATCTGGTATTTTACCATTTGATATTTCTGAGCTGTTACGAAAATGTGTGAATGCTCTCTTTTACTTTAGACCATGATGGGTTTTTAATGTTTTAAGTATGTTGAGTTTTAAGGACAATCAAAATAGGCTATTTCATCAGAGCTAAGAGGACAGTGGTAGAGGTTCATATTTGTTTAACCTCATGGTTTCAAAAATAGTGTGAAATGCTAGCCCAGCTTTCTCTTGCAGAGAGGACTTGAGAGAGGGGAGAACTTCAGTGGGAGGAAGTTTGTGTCAAGAGCATCTTTTGGGTGTGGTTATGTGGAGGCAGAGACTGTTGCCCTCTGGACGTTTTATTTTTGCAAACCCTTGGCTGCCTGACAAATGTGCTTTCAATAGGAAAAAGCTAGGCTGGCAACAAGTGGCTTGTACTGATAAAAAGGTAAAACAGAGTGCTATTGTGAGCACCAGTGCAGCTCTAAGGAGTGTGATGTGGAAATCTTGGTGGAAAAAGGGCAAATGAGTGTGGAGGGGTTTTGTCCCTCTGATTTGGCATTCAGTGCTGGCAGTGGATATGTGCTTGCTGCAGTGGAGTAGGTCAGCTGTTCCTGGAGCTGGAGACAAATTACAAAGCTAAGCAGCAACTGATGTCCTTGGTTTTGTGCTTCTAGAGACAGTGTTCAGCTCTTCACAGTTCTCTGGGCAAAGAGACTTGTATTAATCCTAACATCATCTCTGAAATACCTTCTTTGAATTTAACCTCTACGCAGCCTTGCAGGTTAATTCCAGTCTGACTCACGAAGCAGTTACTCAGTTCCTGGAATAAATCCTTTATATTTGTCACATTATTTGCTCTTTGGCTTCCATGAACGTCCAGGTTGAGTGCAGGGAGTTTCAACTGAAAGGTGAGCCATAGGAGTGCATCATGCTTTCCTGCATGACTCAGATATTCTGCCTGTTTTGAAAATGTTTGCACGAGCAGGATTTATCTTAGGATGGTTGCCACAGGGTCCTATTGTCATGGGTACTCGTAAATCCATAGCTGTGTGACAGAAACAAAAGGAGGAGGAAAAGTCTGTCTTGCAGTGTGAGCTGCACCTTCTGCACTTTCAGGCTTGTGTAGTGAAAAATATACATGTGTTGGCTGGAAT